CGACTGTAGCTTTTTTTCCCCAAAAACTTTGTCTTCAAAATAAGGGTGCGTCTTATATTCCGAAAAATACGGTAATCTAAATTATTCAGTACATTTAAAGAAAAACGTTATTCAACGATGGTTAATTGGCCTTATATATTCAACACCATATACAGAAGACGACAACCACTTTGAGAAAAAGGTTTACTAGACAGTATACATTAGCACTGCAAGTTTAAATAGCTCAAAGAATTAAACTAATGAAAGTTAAAAGAACTTGTAGAATGACGACAGGTAAAGTGATATAAAACGGTCCCCTTCGACAAAAGTAAAACGGTTACTTTTGTATATCATCAGTTATGAAGTGCTGCCATCTAGAGTGAATTATATGTAGCTATTGTTTACGTAACCCCGTTCATAAACACACTGGCGGATGGGAATGATCAAAGCTTCATTTAATTTTTACTGTTTTTTCTTTTTTGAATAACTTCGATCTAAGATAAGCACTTTGAATTTTTTATAATCACAGAGTAGATATTTCATGGAATTTCACTTTGTTGATTTCAAACAATGAGGAATTCTAGACAGCTGATATATGGCGCAAAAGAAAGATTATCCATGTGCAACAATTTTTTTTATTATTATTTTTTGTGATTGATTTACGAGTTCATTAGGGTCCATCTTACCTCCCATTAATGACGTACGTTTCCGCCATAGGGTCGCCCGCAACGTATATTATTACTCTACAATCACTGGTCCCCATAATGTGCGGCTTGTACAAAACCTTTCCGATCTCTATCAAGAGTAATTAAGTGATTATTTAAGTTATTTAAATGCAGCATTTCTTTTAACTCTATTTTCTCGGTTTGTTTCTTTGTTTGGAAAGTTTTGGAGCTTGCAGCACCCAAACTTGGCAAGCGGATTTGAGGTGGCCAGGAGGTGTCTATCTATATGGCTTAGCCTCCTCCTAACACCCATGGGGGGTGGGGGGCTAAAACGCGCCAGGAATGTCATTCAGGCATGACGAAGTCTAGCAATAACTTTTCTGAGTCGCTGAACCTGAATCTAGCATCGTAATTAAGTTTTTCTGACCCTCGACCCTCCCCTAAGGATCTCGGGCGTAATGTTTAAAATTGTATTCAAATCTTTACTCACAAAATAGTGGGACCAAATCTGACACACGTGCTTAGGTACCACAGACGATTGTACTAACGAGGTTTGTTTGGGTATAGACTCCCCTTGGGGTATCTATAAAAGAAATTGGGGAAATTGAAGGGGATTAATCGGTACATCGGGACATCTGAGAATCATGAGAGGGCCATTGAAACCCGCAGCGGAGTGCAGGATGTTATGCTAGTTGCAATTTTTGGGCCAATCTTACATCTACGAGTAAAACAGCTCAGAAACACACACACAAAAAATGCATTTCATCAATATCAAAAAAAAAGTGTATGTCTAAACTTTGTTTAAGTAGAAATGACATTTATAATAAAAGGGATTCATTTTAAAATATTTTATTTTTTCATGACATTCATCTCAATAGGTAAAAACCACATTTAAAGTTAAAGTGGTAAACTTCCTCTTCTACTATAAGTGCAAGCAAGCTACACCAGTATGAATGACTTCTAATCCTGAAAACTATATTTGCTTATCAGCGTAAATACAATACCCACTGGCGTTCAACGGTAAATGTGATGGTTTATACGCTAAAGTTCTAGTTTCGATACCCCAGAGGACAGAGCACAGATAAACTACCTTGTAGCTTTGTGTTAAAACAATAAACGAACAAACAAAGCCGAAAACACTTTAACCAATTTCGTTAAAAGACAAGTACTTGGCCAGAATAATCTCTAATTATTGCTTATCAGATCCCTAGTGTACACAGTAATTAATGAATAAAAAATTTGTAAGTGTATTTCCTTATTTATTTTGCATTACAGATTTTCGTTAATCACTGTTGCTGTTTCAAAATAAATAATTATCATTCCAAAGTATTTCGAGGATGTGTCTAATCGAATGTAAACACTAATTAATATGTAATAAGTCATCAAATTATAGTTATTTCTTACAAAACTGTGACAGTATAGAATACATTCCTGTCAATAATAGTGGTTTAGTCACATACAACTTTAAAACAAGTCTGTCAATCTCCCCTACACTAACACCAAATTTTTACCAGGCTGTGCTTTTACTAATATAGCTTATAAACTTATAAGTATAACAATGATATAATGATGCAAAGCCTAACAATACTATTCTAAGTTTGTTTCTAAACAGAACATCTAATTAAAAAAGAACAAACAGCAAATAAATGCACAATATCTTGAGCTGACTAATATTAAAACAAAAAGCATTTCCTGCTAGTCAGTTCTCACTAACAAAAGTTAGACCAATTATGGTTTGAAAACTGATTATTCCTTGTTTATTTTGTTTGTTAGATGGGTACTCTCTATGCTTTGGTTGTAACCAATGTAATGGAATTTTGATTATTATTTTTTGGTTTCACGAAAACTTTAGCATTGATACGTAACAGAAAATTGATTTGAATAATCATGACGCTTTTTTTTACTAGTTACAATAACTACAAAACTAAGACATGTTATTACTAATACCAGTTCAGTAGTACCAACGCAAAAACCGTTTCCCTTACTAACACTGTGACACTGACAGTAATAGTAGTTACCGAGTGCCAAGGTAAGGTCAACATGTCTGGCTTAGAAATAAGTTATATTTCGTAAAGGACTTAATGTAAACCAGTTTATGGTATTAAATCACAAAAGAATTAAGTTTGTTTATTTATGATTTCATTATTATTAAAGTTTGCTCTTCATCTAAGCATGTACGGTGGAATAATAACTTACCTGTGCATTTGGGTCATTTTCTCGTTTAGCCCATATTCCTCCATTAGCAAGCCCTGCAATAACTGCTATCCTACACTGGACCTGAGAACAGATATGATCATCAACGTATACTTGCCAAGACATAATAAATAAGTTTCGGTTAAAAAAAATAAAATTAAAGTTCTTTAGTTAAAATTTTCTCCAACACTTGTAACAGTGTCCGACGTTTAAACAAAAGTAGTGTAACTCTAGTACGTCCTTGCCGGCTTCGTAAGTTGTCTGTTGTATTCTTCCGCTACCCAACATTCACCAATTAGGTTAAGAAGCACATGAGATGTGAACCATTTGGCGCTGGCTGTGAAAGAGAGCAGGCTTAACCATAAACCATATGTTAAAAAATGATCACATACAAATACTAATATTATTAGTAAATTTATGTTTTTATATTTTGTGCAAGTGACTTCAAATTTAAAAGAGGGAGTAAAATTCATTCGAAATTATAATTTATTAAAAACAACAGCTGAGTTAGTAAAACTTAGATTATATTGTTATCACTACATTGCTTTATTATCAGACAAACGCTGTCAATGGGATTAGTTTCTTTCGCGTATAATTCTACTTGTATCTTATTTCTTACGCGCCAAACGTCTTTATGAGTCATATTTACGTCACTGATTGATGTTTATTCAGCTAAAATGCTGCCATCTTTTAGGTATTGAACTAATTAATTTGACTAAAACTGTTGATTTCGAAAATACCAACAAATGTTGTTTTAATCTGTTGAAATATGGTTTAAAAAACATTACAGTATTTTATTTAATTAAATTTTGTATATAATTTTGGAGTACAATTCTAGTTTAACATTTTTGTTTGTAAATTATGTTATTTGAACTGTGTAATGCACGTTCATTTCTTGATTTTTCAGTGACCTCAAAGTGAATTGCATAAGGTAATTATAAGATACAGTCATTCTTATCTTTGATGGAAATATAAATATAACTTATGGCAAAATTAATTAACAATATTAGCTTAACTTCTAAATTTCATTTCTATTTGCACAAATATGAACAAGTATTTTATTTTTCATATTCATATCTTAATACTAGAATGTATTTACACTTTCTAAAAGAATTTTTGGTCTTTCATCGAAAAGATGCAATATTTTCAAAGAAAATACCATAAAATTTTTTTGGCTTTAAGTAGTCAGAATATATGAAATTTTCAAAATTTTGAGAATTGAAAAAAATTAAATTTTTAAAGAAACTATTGGATAGAGTATTTATGATGAAAGTACTAATTTTTAACATTTTGTTCGTTGTTAAGCCCACAGCTATACAATTGGTTATCTGGTATCGAAACCCAATTTTTAGCATTGCAAACACTCAGTCTTACCGCCGAGCCACATGAAGGCTTTTTAACATTGAAATTCGAATTTCTTGTATGATCAATATGATGAAATCTATTTTTATTCTTTTATGTCTCACTGATAAATTTAAAAGTATCAGCAAAATGCAGGTCCTGGACATGTTATGTAGAGAATAAATCGAATCCATTAAGTGAAGGAAAGAAAAACATACACACTAGTGAAAAAAAACGTTATTCACAGTAAAATGAATATATTGTTATTTCACCTAATGACAGGCCTCTA